TACAATCCTGACTTTTCCTTAAACCAGATTGTCTTTCATATTGGCCCAAATTGGTGAGCTTTCTAAGACTGATTGGAATAAAGCACTAAGTTATAAATGCCGTAAGGACAGGTCCTCTGCCTTGTCCATTATTTCAAACCTAAGCCTACTGCTCAGCACGGTACCTGACACATAGGAGGTGCTTAGTAAATATTTGCTGTGGGCCAGGCATGGTGGCTCACGCCTGTAATCCCAACACTTTGGGAGGCCGAGGTGGGCAGATCACTGGAGGTCAGTAGTTTGAGACCAGCCTGGTCAAGATGGAGAAACCCCATTTCTACTAAAAACACAAAAATTAGCTGGGTGTGGTGGTGCATACCTGTAATCCCGGCTACTCAGGAGGCTGAGGCAGGAGAATCGCTTGAACCCGGGAGGTGGAGGTTGCAGTGAGCCAAGAGTGTACCACTGTACTCCAGCCTGGGGGACAGAGCGAGACTCTGTCTCAAAAAACCAAAAAAACAAAAACAAACAAACAAACAAAAAATATTGCTGTGTATCAGGAAACACTCGAGGGGCAGAGGATCCTGCGATGTTGTGTGTGTGTGTGTGTGTGTGTGTGTGTGTGCATGTGCGTGTGCATGCCTCAACTCCAAGTACAGGGAAGTTACCTCCATTTCTTCCATCTCCATGGCCTCCAGAAAAGCTTTTGCCTCAAGAGGTGCTCAGTGGCCGGCAATGACTCCCTGGTGGTGGTTGGGGAGTGGGGTTGTTGCTGCAAACAGCAGGGAGTGGGAAGGAGGGAAAGGATGGGACAGCACACCTCCCTTCTCCCTCATTCTCTGTATCTATTGTAGGCTGTTATTCCCCTTCCTCCCCCAATCCTGACTCTGAAAAGTATGTCTTTCCCCACTGGACAAAGGCAACTGGTTCCCAACGTTATTGTGCTACCACTGTGGTCCCATGACACTCTTGCCTCTACCTCAAATTGTCAAGGTCATGTTTATCTAGCGACAGCCAGTGATACAGTAGGAAATAAAATGGCCAAAAGGTCCTGACTTCTTGCCCTGCTTCTGGAGTCACTGGAAAACCTGTTAGCTTCACTGGGTCTCAGTTTTCTTACTTACTAAATAAGAAGTTGCTCTAAATAAACCCATGAAATCCATTCCTATGGAGGAAGACCTCCCAGGTTTCCAGAGGAAGGTGGTGGGTGGCTGAGGCCTGAGGGGCAGTGGTCGGGCTGGGTGACAACACGCTCACCTTCAGGGCCATCTCAAGCGTTGGCGATTCCTGCTCCCCTCCTCCTCTCTGGGAGGCTCCAGGTCAGGTTTAAATAATCAATCAACTCGCTTTTGGGAATTCAATCAAACTTGTCTACCTCAAACCTGCTGATTTATATATAGCACTAATTATTTATGTTCTATATTAAACTCCACTGTATTTCTTGGTGATATTAAAATATAAATTATGCAACAGAGATAAATTGATGGAAATTTTTCCACATGGGTATAAAGAACTGCTGTTCCTAATTATGGTGCGATATCAGTGGAGGTGGAAAAAGCAGGAGTCTGGGAAGAAGGGCGTTTACTGAGGTCAGGCAGTTTGGCGTCCATATGGTAGGGCAGAGTAAGAGCCTGCTGAAATGGAAGAACCAGATGCTCTGTGCAGGAACAGGCAGGGTCTTGGTAACTTCTTGTTCCTTTTTTTTTTTTTTTCTTTTTTATTGAGACAGAGTCTCACTCTTGTCGCCAAGGCTGGAGTACAGTGGTACAATCTCTGCTCACTGCAACCTCCGCCTCCCAGGTTCAAGCAATCCTCCTGCCTCAGCCTCCTGAGTAGCTGGGATTACAGGTGTGTGCCACCGTACTTGGCTAATCTTTGTATTTTTAGGAGAGATAGGGTTTTACCATGTTGGTCAGGCTGGTCTTGAACCCCTGACCTCGTGATCTGCCTGCCTCAGCCTCCCAAAGTGCTGGGATTACAGGCGTGAGCCACTGCGCCCGGCCAGCTTCTTGTTTCAATCATGGTACACTTTCTCTCCAACTGTCACTTCCTCCCCCTCACTGTCACCCACCCCCCAGAAGCCTGAGCAGGACAGGAGGATGGACTCAGCTGCCATGTGGCCACTGGTCAGACGGAAGCCACACCTTCTGTTATGTTCTGTGACCCCAGGCCGATGCCCCGCTCCAAGACCCAGTCCCATGGGGGAACTCAGGGCTTTGATTGCATTTTGGATTGCAAATGAGTGACAGATATCTTTAATTTAAAAAAAGTGTGAAATGCAAACTTTAGTTTACTAACAAGCATAACTCTTCATTGTAAGGCCCCTTACCTGTGGTCACTACATATGGTACATCATGAAATCAAGATCGGACCAGTGTCCTTTGCCCCCCAAATTATTTTTGTGTCAGTGCTGGGTCATCCCGCTGGCTGGGACACTCTGCTGTTTTGGTCCCTGGCCTTGGCACCCTGATGTCCTCGTCTCAGAATTCCAGGGAAGGCATTAGGGATAGAGGAGGAGAGGTCAGAGCCACCTGAAGATGCATCCACATCAACCCTTTTAGGAACCACAGACAAGGCCAGTACTGTAGATGCAGGAGGATGGTTTCTGATGTGCTTCATTTTGAGGTGCCCTGGACAGGGCTGTATTGGGGTACATGAGCACCCCAGGTTGGCTAATCATCTGTCACCTTTTCAAGGGGATACCACCTAAATATTTGCTCACACTTATTCAGAAGAGAAGTGGGGTGTGGCTCAGAGCACAGGAGGGGAAGGTCGCTGCACTGACAGCTTGATTTCACTGTGTCCAGGGCAGTTCAGCTCCGGCACCGAAGTTCCAAATCCCTCTTTGCAAAACAAGAGCGCCCATGTATACTTAAAAGCAGTTGAGATGGCACATTTTATGTTATCTCTATCTTACCACAATTAAAAATAAAAAATGTAAAAAAGAATAGAAGATCCCAGCAGTTACTTGGACCCACCCTCCACAGAAGGCAGCGTATCAACCATCCACGATCACACTCGTGTGCCCCTGTGGGGTACCACGGCCCCTCCTCGGGGGCTCCCACCCACTGAGTCCTCTCCTGGATAGGAGTCCTGGTCCACACTGTTTTGTTCCATCTGCTTCCATGTCCAGTGACGCTGGGGCAGGCCCTACAGACAGCCCAGGCGGTCGCCCTGCCTCCGGTGTTTCTTTACCGCGGGGCCTGGGAAAGCCCTCAGCGAAAACCATCTGCCCTGCCCACCGCCATGGAAACTCTGGGACTGGATGCTTCCCGCCAGAGGAAGGACTGCTCTGTTCAATGTAAGTTTTTTAAAAAAAATCCCAGCACTTTGGGAGGCCGAGACGGGCGGATCACGAGGTCAGGAGATCGAGACCATCCTGGCTAACACGGTGAAACCCCGTCTCTACTAAAAATACAAAAAACTAGCCGGGTGCGGTGGCGGCACCTGTAGTCCCAGCTACTCGGGAGGCTGAGGCAGGAGAATGGCGGGAACCCGGGGGGCGGAGCTTGCAGTGAACCGAGATCGCGCCACTCACTCCAGCCTGGGAGACAGAGCGAGACTCCGTCTCAATAAATAAATAAATAAATAAATAAATAAATAAATAAATAAATAAAAAATAGAGACACTCTGTGACCCAGGCTGGAGTGCAGTGGCATGATCATTGCTCACTGCAGCCTCAAACTCCTGGGCTTGAGTGATCCTCCCTCCTTAGCCTCCTGAGTAGCCGGGACTATAGGCATCTGCCACTGTGCCCGGCTGACTTTTAAATGTTTTTGTAAAGACAGGGTCTTGCTATGTTACCCAGGCTGGTCTCGAACTCCTGGCCTCAACTGCTCCTCTTGCTGTGGCCTCCCAAAGCTCTGGGATTACAGGTGGGAGCCACTGTGCCCGAACTATTCAATGTAATCTTGACATTTAAACTCTTCTTGGGGAAAAGTACCACATGAAGTTAATACCTTCCCAACAAGGTGGTGAGATTGAGGGTGGGAGAGGATGGAAGGACACGGGAGAAACTGGAGAAGGAGAAAAGAAGAGAGGGTAGAGGTTGTAAGGGGAGACTCCAGAGAGACACAGGCCTTCTGATGCCTGGAGACCCAGGCACGACCGTGTTTGGGAACCCAGGGGACTGGCAGTCTGCAATCTGAACAGGTAGAATCTCAGTCCGCACAGTTTAGTAGTTGCTCTGGAGCTTCAGCAAGACTAGCAACTCCGGCCAAATGCAGCCCAGGGCCGGAGTCACGTTAAGTCTGCAAAGGACCAGTGAGGTCGTGTGCGCCACTCCTATTTTTGATAAAAATGGAAAATAAAACCGCCACCTCTTTCTTTCACTACATGTTTGTATAAGCCCCGGCTTATTCACCAATGATGAGTAAACCATAAGTTACTTCACCCAAACGCTTTCCTCGGAAGGGAGAAAGAATTTAGAAATGACATTTAAAAATAAATATATCCCAAATGTAGCTGAGCAATAGCTTGTAAGCATGATCCTACATCTCTTTCTAAGCATTTGTAACAATTCGAAATTGCCCTTGTTGGCTAGAAAGGCATGACTGCAAACGCTCCTCACGAATCCCCTCAGTGTTCTGGTTCAAAGCAGGAGTCGGGATTTCTCTGAAGGGGAAGGAAAAACCCAAAAGTGTCACAGGGAAATTACGACGCCTTGTTACATCTCATTTCTGTACCTTATACTGTGGCTTCCCTCGGTCTCCTGCCCCTGCCTCGATACTTTGTGCCTTTATGTCTTTTCTTTAAATAGCTATGATTCTGTCAAACAATGCCAAGCTTATTTTTCCCACCAAAAGCAAATCAGTTCTCTTACAATTTGCATGTCTTAGTTTACTACTTAGTGTATGCAACGCATGACAATTTTCAGGACTTTGAAACGAATTTCATGTTGCCTCCTTCTCTCCCTGGTGCCGTCTTATTTTAATACATTGGAGCCCTCGTTTTCTTCTTCCTGAAACTTGATCCAGAACCTCGCACACTGGGCAGATGGCAGGGACGGCGGATGGTCCTACCTTGCCCAGCCCCGGGGTGTCCTTCACCTTGTTGACAGCCCTCAGCAGACAGGGCGGGGCTGGGGGAGGGGAGGTCTGCAGGATCCCACTGAAACTGGTGGCAAAGAGCGGTGGTTCGGCGGCGGAAGAAGTGGGCCGACGTTTCTTCTTTTTAGAAGACAGATTTAACTTCTGGGCAGCTCTGGAGGGGAAAACATAAGAAAGGAACAATAAGGGGAAAATGACTGTACAATCAGATATGCTAGGCTTACTTCGTTTTTTTTCTCTTAAAAAACCCCTCGTTCTTACTGAGGCGTAATAATTCCTTCTCTCCTCCTGCTCAGTGTCCTCTATAGCAGTCCCTTACCATAACAGGTGCACTGAACGAGCTACCCAGTCGTTTATACAGCAAAAGGAAAAACAAAGCCATCAAATAGCAGGATTCTGCAATCGCGATTTACAAAGAATTGTTTGTTATCCACCAATGTTGAGCTTAAGCAGAACAAAGCTGGGCATCTTTGGGGATAAACGGCACCCATTACGTTCATCACTCTACCGATGAATCACTTCTCTGGCATACACTCAAGTGCGAGACCTCATGAGCTAATCAAAAAACTCTAACACCTTGTAAAATCCAAACCAGTCTGATGAAGAACCATGTGGAGACCAGTCGAGGCCTGCTCTGTACAGGGCACTGGAAAAACACAAGCCCCAGCGCAACAGAAACAATCAAACTGGTTTTAGAAATATAACACCAAACCAGAAGGTGAACTCCAGCCAGGGTGTAGGGTGCTGAGACTGTGGGCTGCTCACATAGATAAGAGGATACTGTGCAGGGAGGTCTTTAAATACAAAATGCAATTCATGGGTGACCGCAAGGAGTAAGGGGTCAAAGCACTAAAGGGGGCACAGAGTGTGAAGGCAGGGAAAGGTGGGAGGGGAGGCGGCCAGCATCATTCATAACACAGGCTGTTTAAATGACATCGTACAACATTCAAGTATCCTGTAACACTTAAAACACAATAATCTTGGCCAGGCATGGTGGCTCACACCTGTCATCCCAGCACTTTAGGAGGCCGAGGCAGGCGGCTCGCCTGAGGTCAGGAGTTCGAGACCAGCCTGGCCAACATGGTGAAACCCCATCTCTACTAAAAATACAAAAATTAGCCAGGCGTGGTGGCATGCACCTGTAATCCCAGCTACTCAGGAGGCTGAAGCAGGAGAATCGCTTGAACCCGGGAGGCAGAGGTTGCAGTGAGCCCAGATAGCGCCATTGCACTCCAGGCTGGGCCACAGAGCGAGACTCCATCTCAAAAGAAAAAGCAAAACAAAACCATGATAATCTTATCACAGAAAAGAAGAAAAGAGGGGAAGGGGCAGTGTGAGGTAAAGGCATTTCACAGACTCTTAATATACTCATTTCTGGATTAATTCTTGATGTTTAAACACTAAACTCCTATTCTAAGAATTCTAATTTCCTCATCAAATGTTCGAAACATTTGAGCTGCCACTTAAAATGAAAGGACCACCCTGACTTTATTCTACTGATTAAAACCTTATAATTCATCCAATGTTCTTACCGACTGCAGAGCACATCATGAGAGAGGCAGGTCGGAAAGACAAAAGCAACACCATTTGCACCGCCTCTCCCTCCCCAGCCCCAGTCTCTTTTAATGATCTGGGATAGTTGGTTTTAATTCTGTGTCATTAAGTGTCAGCCTTTTGACAAATTGCGAGCTAAAAAATTGCCACTGCACAAATATATCAAACGGTGTTACCATTTCAAAGCTTAATTTTTCTCATCTGTAAAACTGAAAATCTATTTCACAAGAGTGAAATACAGGGGATGAGATAAGTGAGGAATTACCGATTTTGATAGGAAGATACCCTAAGTCACCCTATGGAAGGATGATGAGAAATGAACAGTGACTCATCCCAGGTCAGTCACTGGCACGAGGCATCACGTGGCCTTCTGACACCTGCATGCACCTCTGCTCAGTGATCCGTCCCTGCTGTCAAGTCAGACTGCCTATGTCTCAGAGGACTAGAAGAAGGAAGATGGTGATCTGCTAGGAACTAAAAGGTGCTGTTTATCCATCTACATTCAGGGTTCCTTTTCACAGTGTAAAAAGAACCAGGTGGCCGGGCGCAGTGGCTCACGCCTGTAATCCCAGCACTTTGGGAGGCCGAGGCGGGCGGATCACGAGGTCAGGAGATCAAGACCATCCTGGCTAACACGGTGAAACCTCGTCTCTACTAAAAATACAAAAAATTAGCCGGGCGTGGTGGCGGCGCCTGTGGTCCCAGCTACTCAGGAGGCTGAGACAGGAGAATGGCCTGAACCTGGGAGGCGGAGCTTGCAGTGAGCTGAGATCGTGCTACTGCACTCCAGCCTGGCGACAGAGCGAGACTCCGTCTCAGGAAAAAAAAAAAAAAGGACCAGGTGATGGCTATGGTTCCCACTTCCCTACCTGCTGGGGTTCCCAGTCCACATGGAGAGACAGACAGAGGAAGGGAGTGACACCGAAAGGCAGCTTAAAACAGGCAGTAGCCTGATGGCTTTTTCCTTTTCTTATCTCTGCCACCCATGCCCACCCCACACATGCCCTGCTGCGGAGAAAAGCAAGGATCCTTGAAAGTAAAGCACACCCCAGGATATCCCTCCAAGGCTTCCCTCCTCCCTCTCCCTCCTACAAACTTTCACGCGACTAGATCATTCCCAACAGCACGCAGATGTGTTGTTACTTCTCTCATCTTAAAAAATAAAACAAATCCTTCTCCTGATTCTTCTTCCCCAGCCAGCTACTGTTCTACTTCCTTGCCCATCCTGGCAGCAAAACTCAGGAAAAGTGTCGTCTATGCTGGCCTTGTCCAGTCCCTCTCCTTCCACTATCGATAAGCTCATTTCATTCAGGCATGTGTCCCACGACTCATCTGAAACCGCCCTTGTCTGGGCTCCCGATGACCACCATGATTGCTCAAGTTAATGGTTCTCAGCCCCATCTTGACCAATCAGAGCCCTCAGTAGGTCCTTCCTCCTTGATACACTTTCTGCTAGGTTTCTAGGACACCCTGGCCATTCCTTTCCAGTTTCCTTTGCTGGTTCCTTCTCTTGTGCCCAGCCTCTTCATGACGGCGGCCTCAGGGCTCAGTCCTCGTCCTCTTTACTGCTGCACTCAATCCCTTGGTGTTTTCTTCCAGGATCATGATTTAAATAACATCCTGAGTGCCTAGGATTAATCAATTTTTATTTCAAGCTTAGATCCCTCTCTGGAACTCCTTATTTATGTATCAAAATTACCTCTTCAACAATTCCACTTGGATATCTAACAAACATCTCAAGCTTGCCATCTCTAAAACTGAAGTCCTGATTTTTTTTTACCTGCAACGCTGTTACACATTCAGCCTTTCCTGTATCAGAAAATGGCAATTCCATCCTTCTAATGACTTCTTTGATGTTGACCTCTCTACTTCTCACACATCTAATCCATCAGGAAGTTTCGTTGGCTAAAACTTCAAAGCAGATCTATGGTCCAACCACCTCTCACCACCTTTACTACCATCTTGGTCAGAGCCGCAGACTTCTCTCGCTGGATTGCTGCCAGTCTCCTAACTTGTCTCCCATCTTCTGTACCCACTCTCCACCTGTCTATTCACACGGAAGCCAGAGTAACTTTTAAAATTTAAGTCTGCTCAAGGCCCTCCGTTTGACTCTCCATATCACTCAGAGTAAAAGCCAAAGTACTTGCAGTGGCCTATGAAGCCTCCATGGTCTGTCCCCTTCCCCCATATCCCTCAGACCACCTTTCCTACTACTCTCTTCTTTGATGATTCTGCTCCAGTCATCCTAGCCTCCAAATACCCTTGGTCCAATCCCCATCTCGGGGCCTTTGCACAGGCTCTTGTGTCAGCCTGGAATGCTCTGCCCAGATGGAGACGGGCATATGGCTCACTCCCTCATCTCCTTTAAATCTTCGCTCAAATGTTACCTTATCCATGAACCTACCTTGCCCATCATGGCAGACAGTACTTTCCAAAGATGGCTGCATCCATGTGTCTCCCACATGCACTTCTTACAACCTGACACTGATACTCTCCCCTTGACAGGTAGGGGTCTATGTTCCTTCTTGAACCCAAGAAAAACTCTGAAACTGCCCTGGCCACAGAATGTCATGGAAGTGATGCTGTAGAGCTTCTGAGCTTCAGACACAAAAGGCAATAATGGCCTCTCCCCGGATCTCTTTCTTGAGACACTCACCCTGGGAACGCAGTTCCCATGCTGTGAGGAAGCCCAGGTCACATGCAGAGGGTCATGTGGAAAAGAACTGAGGACCACAGAAGATGGTCCTCAACTGCCAGACATACGAAAGAATGAGCCTTTAGATTATTCCAGATGCCATCCTTCAAGTCTTCTGCCTGAGGTCCCGGACGTCATGGGACAGAGATAAATCACAGCCACTAAATCTTATCTGAATTTTAGATCCCCAGCAACTACGAGAGATGATAAATGATCTTTGTTGCTTTTAGCCACTAAGTTTTGGGGATAATTTGTCACACAGCCACAGTAAAAAAACAAACAAACAAACAAACAAAAAACAAAAACAAAAACAAAAACCACTCACTCCCAGACTCCTAATTTCCTTTATCTTTGTTGTTCACAACCATGACACCTATTATCTTGTAACACAGCAGATGCTTTACTTCGTTACCATGTGTATTGCTTACTATCTGTTTTCCCTCTAGAATGTAAATTTTAGCAGGGAAGAGAGCTCACGGTATGTTTTGAATGAATGAACGAAGACAGAGGAGCTGGGGATATTTAGCCCGGAGAAAAGAAACCTGGAGAAAGAGGAAGGACAGAGTCTTTCAAAAAACTGTCTTTAATGAAATGAATAAATGACATGTGGAAGGAAGTATCTTTCAAGCAAGGATGCCAGATACTTTCATAAGCCATTTTTTTGAATCTCAAAAGCCCTTGTGAGCAGAACAATATTACCCCCATTTAACAGACAAACAAATGAAGCTCAAGGCAGTTAAATCCTGAGGCCCTTCTGACCTAGTTTGAACATCCAGCTTCCTAGGTGCTAGGTAGATAATCTTAGGCAAGTTACCTAAATTCTGATAATGTTTATAAAGGCCTAAGCACAGTGCCTGGCACATTGTTGTCACATGACAATGCTATCACCATCATCATGACTATTA